TGCTCACAGAAAGATCACCCATAAATAATTACAAATAATTGCGCTGAATGTTTTGCTGCTCTTTAATTCGTTTTTTAATTAAATAGCTTTTTAAACCACTTACAGACCATTCTCACATAATAAATTGCTCATAAAAATAAAAAACATTGCTTGCATTGTTTAATCAACAACTCAAAGCTTATTCAAACTTATTTGTTCAATCATAATTAAAGACTAAGAAAACCAGAAAAAGGTGTATAAGTGAGAAGCATAGAAGCTTTCAAATTCTCATAAAAAAAAATCAAAACTTTAATCAAAAAAAGATATGGTTTTGAAAGTTAGAACAGCTTTAAAACAAATGTAGACTTGTCTTAGGTTAGTCATTTGGTCTATAAAATGTAATTTGTTACAACATAGTGACCCTTTATTGTCAGCTGAGACCCCCTAATTGTTCTTGCATGTGCAGCTGTAAACCAGAGTTTACAACCTGTCCCAATAGTGTATGTTATCAGCGGTGTTGAGAAAACACACTCTGTACACTGAGCTCCATGTCAACTCATCTTTGTTTCTGGCAGTTGATGGCAAGTTCTCTTCATATCCGATGGAGCCACGGAAATGACATCACGTCCCTGCAGGGAATGAAAGCACAGCGCTGACAGGACTGTCATGACTAAAGAGTTCCTTGGGAACATCAGGGTGAACCGAGGACCGGGAAAAAAAGTGTCTGGAGGCGGTGTTTTCTTAGTTCCTGTAGTTCCCAACTCCCACTTCTAGCCCATCAACCATTTTCTGATGTTTGAAATTCCCCTCTCACATGTGTGCCTTTTTTTTTTACCCTGAATGTAGGGCATGTGGGCGGGGCAGAAAGTCCTCCAAATTAGCAGTTACTGAAAGAGTGGAAGACGAATCATTGTGTTGGCTAGATCCTGCTCTACATCTCTATTTCACTTGTAGGTTTTCAGCTTACACTTGGACTTGCGCATTAGTTTTGTTCCAGTCTTATTTGATATGTATGTATGCACTCTTTATCTCTCTTCTCGCCATTGACAATCGAAAATAAATTAACATTCCTGGGCTTTATTTTTGTCTTCACTAAGCCTGTGGAGAAAACTAGGAGGCGAACCGAGGAGGTCAGGCCATACTCACAGGCTGTCAATCCTCTGGGTGACCCAACCGCCCCTTCCTCTCTCCCCCTTCTATTCTTCTCCTCCTCTGCTCTCCTTCTCCCATCCATTTAGTCCCTCCCGGCTTAGAAACTCCCAAACTCCCCCCTTCTCTCACTCCCTTTCACTGGACGCCTCTCCAGCTTGAGTGAGGCAGACACAAGCTTTGTCAAAGGAAACTCACATTCATTCAGCCGGCTGTTGCACACAGCCTTGTATTTCATGTGAAGACATGTGGGCTGTCTCCTTCTATCCATTTATTTTAATTATGTTTTAATTGCTTGCCGTCCTCTTTTAAATGCTTGCTTATTATTTCTATCGGGCTGATGTGAAAAATTGGCTGCAGACTGTGATTCTCTCCATTATCTTAACTGATGATAGATTTCTCTCCTTGGGTTTCCACTGTGTATGCATGGCAGACAAAAGAAAAACAGATGTCTTGAATGTTTGCCTATCATTTTTCATTTCATTGGTGGATTTTTTTGGGGTCTTGTTTCCAGAAAGACATACTGTTAATAGAGAGAGAAACCCTGAGGGAATATGAATATGTACTTGTATTTTTCTAGGAAGAGGACCCAATGGCACATATAAAGATAAATAGCTTTTATTTAGTCAGTGGTCTTCTGGTGTATATGAAATGTTTGTGCTCATTAGATTTAGTGTAGGTGGTGACAGTTAGTCATAACTGCGAACATTTTCTTTTCTTTCAACATTATTTGCCTTGAACATGATGATCATTATACGCAAATTGCTGGCCAAGACACAAGTAACCTCAATTCTCAAGCTTCGGCGGGGAGGGGGTTGTCATAGATAATTCCTTAGCACCATCTCAGAGGGGTTAACGATGCCTCACTTACCAATCATTTTCTGCTTGAGAACTTCTGAGCCCCCCACAGCCGCCCTCCCCTGTCCCCTGATGTAAGATCATGATAAGACTGTCAGTGCTTGTGTAGAGGATCTTTTTTTAAACACGTTATTTATTGGTCCCGCCTACCCCTACCTCCAACACCTTTGAGATGTGTCTGAATATGTGGCACGTCTAATGAGTTGCACTGCTCCGTACGTTTCCATGCAGGACGGTTGGCTAATTCTGTCTGCCAGAGCCATAATGTCCTTAACTGAGCAACACTGCTGAAAATCAGGAAGCTCCATGCTAATATGTGTTTATAAAGAATGTTCATTTAAAAAGATAAATGTACGTATCATTCTCTCTAATTAAAAATAATAAAATCTGATGTACAGAAATGGGAAGGGTTTAAAATAAGGAAAGCCATTTAGGTAATCTTGATAAACTCATCCGATCAGGTATATTGGAAAATGCATCCATCTGTCCAAGTCCCTCCCAACCTCTTTAAGCAGAAAGTCATGATTAAGTTAAAAGGCACCTCCCAGTTGGTGACACATTGAGGTCCACTGAAAGGGAATATTGGTCCTTGAGATCTTTTCGGCCATACCTGTAAAAAGGGTTTTCTTTTAGTCCGCTAATTTCTTCTTCTGTTGGTTTTTTATAGTCAGCGAGGCCAAGAAGTCGAGACTATCTGTGTGGTTAGCCTGCTTTTCTTCAATTTATTTTACCAAACACCCAAGAGCTCGATTTTCATTGACAAGTGTTTCTACAGAAATGGTTAAAGTCTTCAGCTTGTGGTCCATCAGAGTTTGAATTTGTCAAACCCCTTTTCCATTTGATCAAGAAACCATGTCGGTGGTACTTCATTGTTAGCCTCACAGTGCTAGTGCTATTGGTAGGCGTTTCAGTTATTTTCATCCGTCCTTCATCTCTGTTTTTTTTTTTTAGCTTTTCCAGTTTAGTAGTATACCTTAATCTCAAATTGCAAAGAAAGTTGTCCCGAGCTTAAAAGAAACATAGGAGTAAAGAGCAGGAGTTTGTGGAGGACCTGGTTTCTGCGTCAGTTTTCTACGCCGCCATGTTGGATCCCTCCTGTGTAGAGCATCTAAATGTTAATCGCCTAATCCCTTTATCTCACGTCCAGAGCCATTCAGTGCAGAAATCCCACCAAACAAAACAGTTTTTGGGAAGATGAGCAGGGCTGTGTTCTCTACCAGCTTAAGGGAGAAAGGAGACATGTAACTCAGCAGGGAGACAGCCGATTGGGAGAAAGAACCCCGGGGTGGAGAGGGCAGGTCTGCATGCGAGAGGCCGGCAGGCTCTCGCCCCCTGGTGTCTGGAGGGGCTGAGTTGCTCAGCATGCCCAGCAGGCCAGAAGGGCAGGGGGATGTCCCCCCCATCAGTTTCCAATCTCCTCCTGTCAACCACTATTATGGTTACCCGTGGCCCCAGGCCTCATATTTGCAGAAGATAAATGGCTGAGGAAGAAGTCACAAGTCTCTGGAGATTTGGTTTTCTGCCCAATATTAAACTGGTGACAGTTCTGTAAGAAGACCTGAGAGTGTTAGCAGCCTTATTAGAAGTGTTGCAGGAGGGCTGGCAAGCTGGTTCGGTGCCACTGGCATATAAACAACTGGAAGATAAATATAACCACAAAAGCTATGAAAACCACCCACGTTTGACTGATAAATTATAAGTTAGCTGTATGTATGTTCCCTTGGCACCGACTGTGCTGTACAACTGCTCGACCAAGGTGATCTCAAATGAAAATAAACACTCTGCTGCTTGGTGCCGATCCGGTGGGCTTTTTTTTTTGTACCGATTATCCCATGACCAGGCTTCGGTCATGTATAGAATACCTCATAGTGACTGAATTATTACTCAGTATGCTAATGTGAAAGCTTCCCATGTTTTGTGGGTTTCCATGTTGCCAAAAATATCCAAGCGATTAGTGGGGCCTGGAGAGCGATCAGAGCTGACTGCTGTGCAGCTCAAATTTAGGTTCATTATAAAATAATCAGGCTTGTAGACGAGTAGCTCTGAAGGAGCAGCATTCAGGCACTTGAAACATTAACTTGCATCTGCATAGAGACGGCTACTAAGTGACCGATCGTGTGTGTGTGTGTGTGTGTGTGTGTGTGTGTGTGTGTGTGTGTGTGTGTGTGTGTGTGTGTGTGTGTGTGTGTGTGTGTGTGTGTGTGTGCGTGTGCGTGTGCGTGTGCGTGTGCGTGCATTGGGGACATGCTGAATGGCAACAAGATGGAAATAAACAAGATACAATATATTTGTGTGTGTGCTGTCTCTGCATCAGTGCCACATCTTCAGCAGTGTGTCATTGGTTATATGTGTGTGCAGGCATGCATATTTGAGTCAATGTTTGTGTGTGTGGCATTTCACATATGACACAACACATCCCTCCTCGGTGTTTGACTTTAGTAGGCAGCTTATCTGTCTGGTGTGTTCGTCCGTCTCTCAGGCTCTAACCTTTTGCAGCTTTTGCAGACAAAGGGCTGTTTTTGCCACCCCTTGATAAGGAAGGAGACAAAAGTAGCTCACAAAGCGACTGGGTCTCTAATGGCGTCCTATGAGAAAGTGTTGCCGGAGCGACAAGCTTTCTCCTGCGGGGAAACGGGAGTAAATGGTGAAGGTGGAACAGGGAAGATTGGGAGAATGAGGCAGTGTGAACATTGTGTTGTAACACGTCCCAGGGATCTGAATAAGTGCAAATAGAACCAGGAACCCTGTCTGCTCTATTTCACGTCCTTGCCATCGTTTAGAAAAATGTTTTAATATTTATATGAAAACTTCTCCAACATGCGTTTGTCTATTCATTTGAACAGCAGTCAGAAATGTTGTTTCAGGGGGTTCGGATTTGATGTCTTGGAATGCACACATGCAGAATCCAGAAACAAAATAAATAAATGTGGTACCTAAGGCTGTGATGATACTTATGATAACAGTCCATTACCTCCAAATTTATGTTCTCTCCTCTCTCTTTTTTCCAGATGAGGAAGATGACTGGTGATGCTTCTCTGATAACTACTGATCGTTGACATCGCTCCAGCTTTCAGCTTTTCCACTGCAACCAATTAAACCACTATTATTAGCAAAAAGGCTCCCTGGATCATCTGCATACAGCGCACAATGGCCTCTGCATTGTGGAGGTGTCTGGTCTTCCGCTGCCTCTTGCTTCTTCCCTTTTTGCTTCACTGTTCACAAGGTGAGTAACCATGGAGTTGCGTGGCAAAAAGTGTTAATGGTATTCTGGTCAACCTCTTTCAAAAGCCACTTATTATTCAGCTATGAATGTGTGGAATTTATTAGCACATGTCTTTTTGTATGTCATAATTATTCTCCTTCAGTGGATTTACCCTTGAAGAGTGAAAAATGTGTTTCAAACACTTTTACTGAACTCATTTTAGTATTGCTTATTAATGGACACATTCACTGTCACATTGAATTCACTTTCAGAACAACAGTCAAATGGTGTGTCAAAGACCTTCCCATTAATATCTGTTCATAGCTGCACCTTTTTTGCATAGTGAGCTATACAACAGAACGCTTAGAGGTATTTTGAGGTATTGTATTCCTTTTTTTTTGTGCCTAAACCAAATCCTTCTGATGGTCGGGGTACCTGAAAGCATCAAAAGTACAATACTTGATTCAGTGCCAGACGCTGAAACTAGGAAAGTATGTGTCAGTGTTTTTAAATGTCTGCAATGACATCCCAAGGCTCTTTTTTGGTTCCTTCCCTCATTTTTGATTAGTGCATTTGGCTGTAATTACAAGTATTGTCACAAAACACACCCTTCTGTTACATGCCCATCAAAACCACTGATGTTGGTATGTCTGCTTAATGATGATCATTAGATGTTCCCCTCTTTCATTCCCATTGTACTGGGGAACAAAGTAACCCAAAATCACATGCTTGTATGCCAAGCATTGATTACAGATAGATAGTTGAAGCACTGTATCTTTGGGGATTCCCATTCAATTTGAATGTATCCTTTTTTCTCCCTTTGGCTGTTTTCTTCTGAGAGATGTCTCTTTCCATTTTATTTTAGGCTATGGTGTACAATTTATTAACAAAGACATATTGCAATAGAGCCCGCTATCCCAGCAGCTTTCCAGCAGAGATGCATTTTTTTGTAGATAAGCAATTATAGATAATATTGCTGAGGCATTTGAAGAATTGAATAGTCCTGTTGGATTTCTTAAAGAAGAATACTGCTTGGTATGCAGAACGCTCAGGTTTTGGGTTTCACTTGATGCGAGGGCTCTCCGGTCTAAGAATGCATATTTGCCCATCCATCAATAAAGGTGTGTGTGTGTGTGTGTGTGTGTGTGTGTGTGTGTGTGTGTGTGTGTGTGTGTGTCCCTCCCTCTGAAAACAATATCTGATTCTATCAACATGCCACTCACTTCCAGTCTGTCCAGCCCTGAGGGCCTGCATCCTTATGATCTATGCTTCCATCATAGTGCCAGCAACAAAACTCCACTTGATAATTACCTCTTGTCCCTCACCAGGAGAGAGTATAATCAGGTTATCGCTTTCACCCAAAACATTCCTCACGCTGAATGAAATGCTCAGCTCAAAGAAAGTGAGTTTTCCCTCTCTTAGTATTGACCTCAACGGCCAGTAGGAAGGATAAACCCCAGTTGGGCCTATTCTGGCAAACTTCAGTTAGCGAAAAACGTTCTTAAAAACTCTCTGACCACTACCTTCTTAGCATCAAACAGCATACAGACAACATATTTGATTTGCTGCTGAACACATTGGAGAATTTAGTATCTTAAGAGACAATACCTCAGGAGTTGGTAGAGAGCAAAACCGAGCTACAAAAATAATGAATATTTGCCTAACATTCAGCTGGTTGCCAGAATTAAGACACCAAATGCTAATGTTGTTCTCCAAGGGCAGCTTTGATATGGTGTAAAGGAAATAAATAGAAGAAACATTCACATTGTTATCACTGAGATGAATACAGTGAAAACACTAATAAGAGATTGCATTCATGCTTTGCTTTCCCGGGAGTTTCTTGTGTGTGAAGTTATTTTGAATCCAGCAATGGCACGTTGGACCCTTCACCCGACGCATCAGATGGTTTGTTACGCAGAACGTTCTGAGAAGCTGTCATTGAGAAAAGGCAATTAAAAAAAAGACTTGGCAGGCTATTGGAGGAACCTTCTGTCTATTACCTTCTAACATGGGCTACGTCAACCAATCAGATCGACGAAGCAATTCTTAGCTGTAGTCAATCGGGAATACAGAGTGAACATTTTCTCTATAGGGAAAAGCCTTGCTCTTCTTTCTGTGAAGAAATACTCTCCAGTTGTGATAACTGATAATATCACAGTTTTAACACTTCAGTAGCCGGCATTGTTTTTTTTTAAACTCAGTGTCGGCTCATACCTGAAAATGTATACCTTTTTTTATATTATCAAAAATGGCTTTAAATTATCGAACTTTTTTACAATTCTTAATGACTCTATTTTAGTATTTTTAATTGGGTATAATGGAGCAGAGAAAAACATCACAATTCTCACCCTATATTTATATATACTATTTGTAGTTCTACATTTTCTTTGGACTCCATTTTACTTCATCCTGGGGATGTTGCATAACAGATATGGATGCTCCTGATAAAGTAAAGTAGGGCATGCAGATATCAGATTTGTTTTAGATGCTTCAGACCGCCCAGTCTGCCATTATGAAAGAAGACTTCCATATTCAAAGGGAGCAGCCACAAAGGTGGGGCATTTGCACAGCAACATATCTGCTGTGACTGAATGAAAAGCTGTTATTTGAGTGTTTAAAGTAAAGAAAGCCAGGTTTGAGGGAGGATTAGGTTGCAAGTCTAGTGTCAACCCTTTAAGTTGATTGATGTGTTTAAAAGCCAAAAGCAGGGAAGGCACTTTGGCCTTCATATCTAAATATTGCACAAAAGGGAAATGTAAAAGATTAAGTGGTTTGTGTTATATCTGCAGAGATGGGGATCAGAGAAGTCAGTGTTTGTTTAGTATGGACTGAGAGAACGAATGAGGGACATTAATATTCAGTTTTTTAAATAATCAAGTCAGTAGAAATAAAAAATCTTGCATCAAGAAAAAAGGATAGATTCCTTTAAAACAATCTGCTCTGTTCTTTCTGTTAGTTTTGAATCTCCCCCGCACCGCTCTGAATAACACACTGCACATTTCGCTCTAAGGGGGATTGTGAAATATTCCTCGGTTGAACATACCATCATGCTTGTGTTTCTCCCCAAAAGGTTGTAAAGGTTAACAATACATCTGAGCACAACATTTGTCTCAAGCAGTGCCATACATTTAGCTGATGAAGGACCCTCCCTTGTGCCACACTGGCATTTCCAGTGGTGGGGTTGACTGAATGGAGAAGCCATTGTGCTCTAACTCCTCTCTGGCCCCGGGCCATACACATCCAGTCTGTCATCCATTGATATGCTTGGCTTGCCATTTTATAATTCATATTGAATGTCCATGCCAGGGCGATCGTGAATTATCAGCTAAACCATGGGAGATTCACAGATGACTGGTCAATCTGTGAGGAAGTAAAAAAAAATCTGATATATCCGTCTTGCATGAAAATTCTGCCCTACTGGAAATATTTCAGACAAAAAGGCATGGGTTCATCATCTGGATTGAATGGACTTTTTTGCACCCTTGGAGACGGATAAATGATCACATTTTTTATTTTCAAAACAGTAGTGTAAGCGTTTGCCACAAGCCTCGCCATATGCAGCTTTTCAGTCAATGTACAGCGCACCAGATGTATTTCTGTAAAGCATTGTACAACAATGTGCTATTTTAACAGTAACCGGAGAGCTGGAAAACGTTGTGCGAGAATATGAAACCGAAATGAGCCAAAGACGGATGAATCTCAAGGATCAGTATTTCACTCAGAGGAAATTAAATACAATATCACCCCTGCTAGGGTCATCCTAGATTTATTGCAACAGAGATTTCCTGAGTTCGTTTTTTGTAAAGCCAAAGCAGCAAGAAATGTCTCCATCCAATATGTGAATGTGAGAGCAACACTCTTTTCCCTTTAGATGAGAAGCTTGCTTTTTATTATGTGTTTGGATGTGATCGTAAAAGCTGTTGTTGCATAGCCAGCTGATGAACAAACACTTTATTTATTCGACTAGGAGCAACAGTTTTCTGACAGTTTGATTTCATCTGTTAAGCACGCCTTAAATCTCTCTTGCTCGGAGCATCTTGGAGCCGTTCCATTCACACCCCTTATGGTAACAAGTTGTATAAACATTGGAGCAGATGCCTAAATCACTCTTTCCTTTCTTAAATGCTGTCCGCCGTTTTTTTCTCCAGGCAGCCTAATTCAAATAATAGATGAGTCCCGCTTACAACCACAAAGTAGTTTGCCTCAGAGTCTAAACTTTTGGATTTGCTCGGTGTAAGTCTGCTTCACAGGAGGGTTCAGCTGTCAAAACAACGTAATGCATTTAATCTTGAGTGGAAGCAGAAGGGTTTCGTGTAAAATAAAGGCTACTCTCAAGAAAGCTGTTGAGTCTTTTTCCTTTATTAGTGTGAGGGGAAGTTTTTGCCAACATTATAAATTCAGGTTTGGAACAAAGACAAAAGTATTTACGGAGGCAACAACAACCTGTTAGATTTCAGTGTGGGTCCATGTTTACCCCATACTTTTAAATAGCTTGGAGGCATGTCAGAACTAATTTCATTTGAAAAAAGGAAAAGCACAAGCTTAACAAACGTTTAAAAACAAAAGGAGTCATATAACATTTAACACAGAAGGGACACTGTGCTTAGGCAATCAAAGCAGATTTTTACTTTCACGAAATACCTGCGGCTGCAAATTTAGTTTTTCAGAACAGCCACTCCAGCAGTTTTATTCTGAAATTGTAGCGCATTTTAAGCATTAATTTGTTAAAGACACCTTGAGTTTTGAGACACATTATGAGTGTAAAAACCACAAAAGCCATTAGAACAAAAAACCTTGCTATTACAAAAAGAAAATGAGTGATTCCTTAGTTATATTTACTCGGTGTGAACATTTAGAAAAAAAATGATGCCCTACTCTTCCTGTCCTCCTTCCTCTGTATCAGAAATGTCATAAAAGCTCAGGTCTTACATTTGAGTTTTTACTGGTAATGATTTACACAGTAACGACTGGTGGTAAAACTAGTGTCGACAGTAGAGAAAGGATGGCAATCAAAAAAATAA